GGGCGCCCCCCGCCCCGCCCCTGCCGCTGCACCACCTGCCCAGGGCACCACCTCTTCCAGAGGCTTCTGCTAAGTGTAGGGTTTAGTTCTATTGTTCTAGGGTAAAGAGACTCTCTGCCCGCCCCGTAGCGCTGCTTCTCAAATAAGGAGAAGGAAAAGGGGAGTTGCCCAAGGCCCAGTCTGGGGACCAGAAGGCCAGAGAAGTCACCTCCCGGACGAGCCGCAGAGGGCGCGTTTCTAACCACAGAGGGGCGACGCGCCTAAAGTTAGGTTCCTCCTGCCTGAGGAAGGCGGTCCGGGAAAGGTACCCCCACGCTGAGGGCAGGCTGCAGACAGAACTCAGTACAGCACACAGTAGGGCTACTTTATAAAAAGAATTCTAGTCAGCTGAAGACGTTGGCAGTTGAGGAATACGATTTACACATAAAACCCTTGGAAGTGGTGTATCTTTTTCTTCTTTCGTCTGAAGGTCTGATCAATATTTCTTCTCTCTAGTTTTTTTTGGGGGGGGTTATGAAATGTGTACCAAAATGCAGGTTTATACATTTTTGAATGAATTTTTAAGTTACTGACCACTTTTGAGGTAACTAATTTTTACCACGGCTTGTGAAGCATTCTGGATTGTCTTTGTACCTAATAAGAAGGCTAAAGGAGGAATCCTAGCCACTAGGCAGACAGCGCAAGGCAGCCGACCTGTCCCCAGACCCCGCAGACGACACCCTGCCGCTTCCTATCTGCTGAAAGAGAAGGCACCAGACAGGAGGACGTCGGGCCCCGCAGTCCCCACCTTGCTGTAGGATATCCCGTCAAAGACAGAGGTTATTTCGTCCGGGGTCGTCACCGTGACGACGATGGGGTGTGAGGACATCAGAGAGTCGTCCTCCTGGACAGGAAGCACGTCCTCAAGCAGCATCTGCTCACGCTGAAAGACAGGCACGCCCAGGGCACCCGGGCTGGGCAGGTTAGCAAGCCCCATTCGCTAAAAACACGGGAGAGTAAATACCAACGCTCACACCACTCAACCCATGCTAGGGCTTCAAGGTAGCCACGGGGGGCACGCCAGCCCCCAGCCCAGCGGTCAAGGGCACCAGGTGCCACGTGGCCAGCTGTGGTTTAAGGCCCAGCCCAGAGGCCTGGAAACATGCTGTGAGTGTGCGCACACGCGTGCACCCCCAAATCCTGACGAGCTGGAGAAGGGGTTGAGGTGTGGCCGCGCCCCACGGGGGTGCCTCCCCCCTCTGCCTCCCCCTCTCTGCCTCTGCCTCTGTCTGGAAGTCAGGGTGCTCACTGCAGTTAGCAGAAAGCAAGCAGGAGGAAAAGAGGGGTGCAGACCGGACTCCTGTGGGGTCTAGGGAGTGTTTCTGAAGCTCTGGTGGTCCCGGACAATATGAAGATGCCACCGCTCCCTAACCGTGGGCCGTAAGGGGGCGTCTGTCACCCCGAGGTAACACAGGGCAGCTGCCCCCATCCGTGGAGCTGACCTCCAGCAAGTTTGGGAGTCAGCGATTTTCAGCGCAGATGAGTGCTTCTCAGTGGGAGCACTTTTGTTCCCCAGGGGACACTTGGGGACACGGGGACATTTCGGAGTGTCACATGGGGCAGACAGAAGCCAGGTACTGCAGAAACCCTGCGGTGCAGAGGGTAGCCGCCCATGAGAAAGGGGGACCTGGCCTCGGTCGGCTGGAAAGCAGGCGTAGGTCAGAAGGGGGCGGAGGCAGCGCTGCAGTGCACCGGGTAGGCCCGGGAAGCCGGAGCGCGGCGCGCAGTCGCTCCTCCCGCTGTCCAGCAGAGGGCAGCACCCGACACGGTCCGCCCGCCCGGCCCGCGCACCTGCGTAGGCGGACGCCCAGACAGTCAACCCGGTAGGGATTGTCAGCACAGTTAGATTCCTCTAGAAGTGCCTGTTCCAGACCCCAGGGCACACTGTGTTACTATCACGTGTACAGTTGTGCGCATCGGGCTTCTGCGTTTACGGGCAGGGGACAACTCTGCCACAGAAGGCGGAGCTGGCGCGGTTCTGCGCGTTCTGAAGCACGTGCCCGCCGTCCATGCAGACCTGCTGCCGGCTCGAGCGTGAGCCTCCCTCCCCCGCCCCTGCTCCTCGAGCGTGAGCCTCCCTCCCCCGCTCCTGCTCCCTTTCGCTGCTTCAGCCGTCTGTCTGTCCGAGGGCAGCCGCTCACAGAATGCAGCCGGGCCACTGGCAAGGTAGAGTGTGAGGCGTCCCTGCGCTGGAGCTGGTGTTTCCTGTGCTGTTTTCTCCCTTCCTCAGCACGCGATTCTGAGTGACTGTCAAGGACGTCCCAGATGGTGACAGCCAGCTACCCAGGGACTGGGCACGGGCGCTGTATGGGGCACAGCTCCCCGGCCTCCGCCTGGCCCCTGCCCCATCTCCACAATGGAGTTCCTGCTGGCCCAGGCTCCTGCCACAGCCCATGGTGGTCTCTGCCTAGCACGGGGCATAGGGGTCAGAGCCCTAGGGTCACGCTCACCATTTGCCACTCCTTCTCCGCGTGGTCCACCCCCAGGAACTCGAAGAAAGAAGCAAATCCTTCGTTCAGCCACAAGTCTTCCCACCACTCCATGGTCACGGCGTTTCCAAACCACTGAAATTAGGTGGTGAGAGGTCGGCTCAGGCAGGCGGCTGGAGAGTCCCCACAGCGGTGTCCCCGTAAGCGGTGTCGCCAGGGCAGGCGTTTATCCCTGCTGTGTCTACCCCGGCTGTTAAACGGCATCGCCCCTCCTCAGGTTAGTGCCTCCTAAGCTTTACTAGAGGCGCGTGCCAGGAAGGCCCCGGGGTCTGCCGAGGGGAAACCTGGTTTTAAAGTTTCCCTAGGGTTCCGTGTTTATGGAGCCAGGACACCTGTTCAGGCAAGACCTCCTGAGCTGCCCTCCACCTCTGCCAGGTGGCACACCATGCTCGCCGTCCCCGAAGCCACCGCGGACCCCGACCTCGGCCCCACCTGGTGCACGAGCTCGTGGGCGACCACGCTGGCCACTCTCTGCTGGTTGGACGAGGCGGACTCCGCAGGATCGTAGAGCAGGTTGGTCTCTCTGTACGTGACCAGGCCCCAGTTCTCCATGGCCCCAGTACCGAAATCCGGGATCGCGATTTTATCTGCGGACGAAGGGGGAACCCAGAGAGAAGGGCATTCTTCCCATCTGCTCAGTGTCGACCAAACCCAGTTCCCTGCTGAATGTTTTCTCAGCGGCTAAAAATAACGTCTCAGAGGGAGACACAGTGGTCACCCTCCCCTCCCGGAGTGTCCCTCCCAGGGCTCCAGACAGACGGGGTCTTTTGATAGGACACCAGCAGGGACGCCCCCTCCCGGCGTCACCGTCACTGCCGCTCGCCCTACATCCTCGCCGATGTGCGAGGGAGGCCTCTTTGGGGATAAACTGGGAGAGAAAGAGAAAAATGTTTAAACGAGGGCTTGGGCGTAGAGAGCTGCGAGGCGCGTGAGTCGGTTTCTGCCCAGGACGCACAACACCAGAGAATGGGAGACTTTGGGGCCAGCAGATGGCGTAGTGGTTACGTCGCCGGACTTCACGGTCGACCGTGGTTCGAGTCCCGGACCCAGTGGCTTGAAACTCACACCAGGCACATGTGCGTGCGTGCCCAAGATTCCGGGAGAATGGAGAAGGGGCTGCGACGTAGCCCTCCTCGCTGGGGGGATGACGTCTCACTTCGCCTCTCCCTGTCTCTGTCTCTCTCTGGCAAGCACACACACCCTAAGGCAAGAACCTCTCAAAGAGAGACAGAGGGAAGCCCCCTCCCCCGGCTCTGTACATGCGCGGTCAGCCGGGCTTCCTGCTGGCGGCTCGCGTCCACCGCGGGGGAGCATGGAGCAGGCTATGTCCTCTCTGAACCCCCGGGGCCGGAATACTCGGGCCTGCCAATCCCCCTCCTCCGTCTTTGCCAGGCCCATCTTAGACACGCTCTCTGGCGGGAGGAGCAGCGGGATTAGTTCTACGTTAAACCGCAAGACAGACAATGGCCAGTGGATCTGTGGACAAGCCCAGCGTCCTCAGTTCCGGGCCAGTAACCCAAACGTCATGCCTTTATTTGACGTACACTTCAGATGAGGAGCCGTAGAAATAAAACAAGGTGAATTTGTATTCAACATGTAAGAAAAGGCCCACTTTTTCTGGTTAAAATAAGGGCTGTTAAAGCTCTTTATAAAAGATGAAAAGTAGGACCAGCAGATGGCATAATGACTGTGTTGCTAGACTCCCGTGTAGTCGACCATGGTTCGAGTCCCAGACCGGGTGGCTTAAAGTCATTCAGGGCGTGTGTGCGTGCATGCCCAAGATCCCGAGAGGAGAATGGAGGAGAAGGGATTGCAGCATGGCCATCCCCCCTGGGGGAGATTTCTCACTTTCTGTCTCTCTGTCTCTCTCTCTGTCTTTCTGGTGAGCGCACGTGCCCTGTAGCAAAAACCTCTCAAAAAAAAAATAATAAAGAATTAAAAGGGGCATATCTTAAAGAGGTCATGATGAGAATCGTCTTCTCTGTGTCACCGTCACTTTGTTAAAAGCGTGGCACTGAAAAGGAGGAGCAGAATCCCCCCAGGCCATGTTCCTCCCGATGGCCGGAGCGTCGTTTCAGCAAATCCTTGAGCAAAAGCACTGTTTTGTAATCCCATTTCTTGGTTGAGCGTTAGAACCAATTAATCACAGAACAGTTGACAGTTTGGGGTGTAGTAAATGCAGAAGTCATTCCTGGGGCATCTGCATCAAGGCTGAGACACGAGAGAGCGTGGAGATGGAGCAGGCGGGGCGGAAGGCGAGGACAAGGACGAGACCGCGGGTCTCCCTCCACGGCTACCCTCCACGGGGCGGTAATGGGAAGGGGCTGCAGATGTGTGTCTAACGTCTGGTTAAGACGTACTCTGATTTCGATGGCAAGTCGGTTCTCTGTCTTCTCTAACAATTTTTTTTTCCATATGGCATATGTGTGTGCTGCGAAGGGGGAAAATGGCAGGTCATCCCCAGGGGGAATGGTCACACGGCCATCCCTTTTCCTCCATTCCCCTCCTGGGATTTTGGGCATGCCCAGTGTGATTTTCAAGCTGCCGGGTCCAGAACTTGAACTACACTCAGCCAAATGGGAGCCCAGTGCCCTAATCACCCCGCCACCTGCTGGCCCCATCTCTAACAACTTTTGAACCATCAGCTACTGTAATTGCTTCCGCTGAAGGAACACGGGGGCCACGGCCTTCCCACGTGTTCCTTCCCACGTGCAGAGCATGGCACCGGGTGCTCCGGGTGGTCACGGAGTGAAGTGAGGGCAGAGCTGGGCCCGGGGACGCAGCCGCCTCGCCTCGCTCCCTCACTGCCTCACCACCCTGCGACTGTCCACAGCGGCCCACGGGCTGCACCTACTCTCTGCTTCTACTGCTCATGGTCATCATCAAAGCGCTTCTCCTAACGGTATGGTCATAGTCACACTGGTTTTTAAAAATGATTTTACTTAACTTCATTTCTTCTTCTTCTTGACAGAGGGAAAGTGAGAAAGCAAGCCACCAGGTCGGGACTCAAACTGCGGGCAATCGTGTGGGAGTGCAGCACCTTAACCACCACGCCACCTGCCGGCCCCATACTCACACTGTTTTGATCTGAGCCCTACTTTTGTTTTTAAAAGAAAACCTGCTACCTGTCACACTGTTTTGATCTGAGCCCTACTTTTGTTAAAAAGAAAACCTGCTACCTGCTACCCCCCACCACACACACACACCTTTGAAAAAGCTGTTTCTGGAGGCAGCACCAGGGCTTATTGGAGCCGCTGCAGCCTCTAGGATCAATCTCAGAGCAGGGAAGGCCAGGGCCACAGAGGACTCTGGGCACCTGTGTCATCCTGCTCTCCAGCTCACTGGGACACAGAGGCCGTGTGCGACCCGTGGGACTGGCTTGCGATCAGCTGGCCCGGGCTGCCGACTCTGGCCCTGCTGCGATCCACGCGGGACCTGCAGCTCTGTGTCTTGCACCGTCTTTATTTAGACAGGAAAGCCCACACGTATCAGGTAATCACAGCACGCAGACGTTGCTCGGGGGACCCAGGCGGCCCCCTGGCCCTGGACACTGCGGGCACATGGCAAGTGGACCCGGCTCCCGCCTGCCATGGGCTCAGCCAGGTGAGCTAATTGGAGAAAGTGTGTTAACATATGTACAGACAAGGCACATTAAGGCAAGGAATAAAAAGCAACCCTCACCTAATTTAGGAAGGGAGTAGTTCATGGCAAAGTACTCTTCAAAATAATCGAACACGCTTTTGGTTATGTCTGCGGCATACTCGGCCGTGCGCACCTGCTCTGGCTGGACGTAGATGGTGAGCTGCGGAACAGAAGGAACAGAACAGCACACCGGTGAGCGCTAGCCTCTGACGCCTAAGTGAGGTGGGGCTGTGCGGCCAGGCCCGTCTGATCTGCCCCTCCCAGCAGCATGGTCTCGGGCCAGCCACTTCATGGGTCCACCTGGACTTACTAAGCTCACGGAATCTGTGAGCGGTACAATGCTTAGAAATCACGTGAGAGTCCCAGACACCAAAGGAGTTCTTTCTGCTTAAACAGTCGCCATCTCTTCCAACCGCGTGTCTGCCCGCCCATCTGTCCTGTGCTCTGTGGGTGCATGAGTGTGCATGTGTATGTATGTGCATGTGTGTGTACATGTGTGCATGTGTGTACATATGTGCATGTGTGTGTGTGCGCGCTTTGTCTTTGAGGGGATGGGTTCGTGTAGCCATTCTCTCAAGCCACAGGGCCTTCAAAACCTGCTCCCCGCTCACGCCGCGCTACTCAGTTACCCCGAGAAGGCTTTCTGCTCCTCTTGCAGAGGCTGAAATGCCCCAAGTGCAGATGCTCCAGGGTGGGGGGTGGGAGATGGCAGAGGGGGAGACGGAGGGAATCGGGGTGGGGAGAAGTAAAATATATAAGAAACACAAAAGCAAATTTAAAACTATTGCTCTAGAAACTTCCTATGCAGAGTCACCTCGGTAAGCGACCTCGGTTCCCTCAGTCGCTGGGGTGTTATTTCGTGCCTCTGTGATATAATTCGTAAGTTAAACCAAGAAGTCTCCCTCCCTCAATTCTGAGCAGGTCTGACTTCATAGGGAAAAACATCCACCCAGGGGCCACCAAGTGGCGTGGAGGTGAAGTCCCAAACTACCGGCCGCAGTCTGAGCCTGGACCCAGGAGCTTGAGAGTCACATGGGGCACGTGTGTGTGCATGCCCAAATCCTGAGAGGCGAGTGGAGAAGGCACTGTGGCGTGCCCCCCGGGCGATTTCTCACTCTCCCTCTCACTGTCCTCTGGGGAGCGCACAGGCCCTGTGGCAGAAAGATCTAGAGCCCTTCTGAGTTCAGTGTGCAAGCAGGTCTGGCCCGGATGGGGGCTTTGCACAAGCACAGCATCCGTGCCTCAGCCCTCTCCTCCATCGTCTCCTCCTCTCAGGACTTTGGGCGCACGCGCACACCTGGTGTGCAAGTCCACGGAGCTGGGACTCGGATTGGACGGCCGGCCACGTGGGATCAGGCGCCTTACCCAGGCCATGCTGGCCCTTCTCACAGTCTCAGTAACACACAGACCGGGCGCACCTGCGTTGCACAACACACTTCTCAGTGCTTGGCCGAAGATGGTCACCTCTCCTCCTTCCTGTCCCGTCCCTACCCGGACCTCACACAGACAGGCTGCCATCTATGAGACTAGGCGTGCCCCGACGTTCTAGCGCACCCGTGCTGCGTGCTGGGAGCTGCCGCTGCCCCGCGGGGAACGCTGCCCTGAACTAAGCCGGCCACGCCGTGCAGGCCCGCCCTGTCCGTCTGTCCTCGCCCGTCCCCCCACGTGCGTCTCTCCACCCCATCGACATACGACCAGTTCACAGACTCCAGAGACGACTTTCCTGGCCTCTTGTATGATAAAGAAAAACTAATCAAAGAAAGGACCCGACCCCCTGTCCGCTGCGGGGGCGGGCGCAGACGCAGGGCGGACTCACCAGTTTCCCGCTCCTCGACACCCTCTGCACGGAGGTGAACCGGTGGACGGCGAAGCACACCAGGTACGTGCTCATGGGGACGGACTTCTGGAAAGTTGTCCGGTTCCAGCCATCGCCCAAGGACTCCCGACTCTGTTGGAAACGAAAGCGTCACCCAGCTGCCGCAGACCGTCACGTACAAGACAGACCAGCGTCCGCCCGGACCAGCTCCGGACTCGGGGGCACTGCGGTGGTGACGCCGGGAAGGTGGAAGTAGCACCTGCTCTAGCTTCCCGAGGAAGGGATCGAGTCACACAGTGCAATAGGTCTCTCAGGAACGAAGTTGGGGGGCCCGCCCGCCAGCCTAGTGGCTAAGGGAGCTGGACCCCATGTGGCCAACCGTGCTGTAGTCCCAAACCTGGAGATGAAAGACCCCAGGTGCCCATGTGTGCCCGGAGTCCTGGCGGGGCGGAGAAAGGGGCAGAAGGGATTGTGGCCCGACCGCCCCCACTGAGGGGCGCTCACCCCTGCTCCCTCTCTCTGTCTCTCTCTGGCAATTGAAATAGAACTAATTCGGGCTGTGCCGTGAGCTGGACAGGAGCGTATCTTTCTAGACAGGGACACGATCCTGACCGTAACGTGGGAGGAGACGCCAGCTCGGCGAGGAAGGCCAGGCTGGAGCTCGAGGCCCCGCGCAGGGCAGAGGGTGACGTCGCGCGAGGC